AAAACTAGCCAGGTGTTGTGCAGGCTGCTGTACTCCCAGCTATTCAGGAGGCCAAGACAAGAGGATCTCTTGAGCTGAAGAGTTTAAGGTTCCTAGCACTCTACCCAGGGTGACAGAGTGAGACTGTCTCAACAAGTCTTTTCCTCGGCCTTGATAAAAAAGCCAGGAGAATTGGTGTGCTCAGTAGTACCCTTGGCCCCTGCTCTTCTCCCCCCTCTGGAACTCTCCTGGGGCCAGCCCATTTTGCCACTTACTTGCTCCTCGCAGGAGCCTCTGTCCACAAATGAGATTGTGATGAGCACCTCTGGCCAAATGTGCTGGCCCTCTTGGTGGGGAAGGGGAACCTCAACTAAAGGAGCTAAGAGTGATGAGTCAGGCAGTTAGATAGGACCCTGTGCTCAGGGCCACCCCCCTAAAGAGGCGACAGGGAAGTAACTAGTCTATCTGGCCCTAGCTGGTGACCAGGAGGCAGGAGCAGCAGGCAACAGCTCGGGCCCTGTGGTTCTGGGCCTTCTCACTCCAGGCAAAGGTAACAGGTCCTGCATCTTGCTGCCTCTCCTAGGGGCTTCAGCCCTGCCTCACGTTGGGTGGGCCATGGGCAGAGCTCCTGAGGGTGCCCTGAGCAGGAGGCTGAGCTCACCACCTGCCTTCTCTGGAGGTATGGGCTGCATGGCTGGGCTTTGTGCTGGAGAGGAGGAGGAAGAAGGCACGGCTAGAGCAGGCGGTACAGGCCTACCGTGGGCAGCTCCTCCGGGAGGGCACCACACGCCTCCTGCGCTTCGCAACTGCTACAAAGGCTTTCAGGCAGCAGCTGCAGGCCCAGCTGCAGGTCAAGGTAGGCCGGTGCCCGACCTTCCCATGGGGACCAGGTAGGGTCTGGTGCAAGCTGATGAGGGCTCCTATCACAGGCGGCCCACAGCCTCCACCGGGTAGTCCGTCGCTGTGCCATGCTCTGGAAACAGAAGGTGCTGGGCCGCAGTGGAGAGCCTCAGCGTCCAGCACCAGTCGCAGCCAGTATGAGAGTGACATTTGAGGGTCCCCTTCTCGACCAAGCTGTTGCTGGTGCTGGGGACGCCACCCTGGAAACCAAAAGGCCCCGAGTTCTTCAACCTCAGGGAGCCCTGGGCAGCCTGGCCACAAGAGAGCCCCACGTCCAGGAGCTGTGAGTTGCCCATACCTCGCCTCTTCTCCCTCCCTCCTAGAACAAAAACTTAGACTGAGCAGTAGGGAATAAAACTGGGCCCTGATGGGATGGGACGGGCCAGGCATGGCCTTGTCACAGCTGAGCTGTTTGGAATACCAGATCCCAACCCTCTCAGGGTGTAAGAGGAGAGACTGGGTTGGGATTTCCACACCCTCTTTCTCCTTTGCCTGCCAAAAAGGAAGTAGGTGTTTTATCCTTTGCCACACTTCCAGCCCTCTCCTGTCTGTACTGCTGCCAATGCACAATCTTTTTTCAACATGATAGGTGTAGTTGACAAAAGAAACAGTCTGTAGGCAGCCTGTTCCCCTTTTCCTCCCTTACAGCTGAGACACTGGCTCCCTGTCAGAAACTCCTCTTTTTGTGACCTGGCACCTACCCTTTAGCTACCCTCAGTGATCTCCCCAAACCCTCCATCTGTCCCCACCCCATACTGAAGGAGCTGGAGGCTCCCAATGTGACCAACACTGCCTGAGAGGAGAGACCAGGCCCTAGTCAACTGTCCCCACACTGCCTGGTTTCGACAGGAGCCTGAGTGGCTCAGAGGCTGCTCCCTGTGATGGGGACCACACCTGTGTTTCCTGGGCTGCTGTCCAGATCATAAGACATGAGCAGCTCTTGTGCTTTGCAGATGAAGCAGGTCCGTGGAATCAGGCTTCCTCCATCGGAACTGGTGCAAGTTCTCCATGACCTGGGTCTACCCCAGCTTGCTTGTTGACAAGAGTCTTGCCTTCTCTGGCCTTCAAGCTTCCATGAAACTGGAAGGGTGGGACTGGATGACCCCTATCCACGCAGGTCTTGAGGGCCCCCTGTAGCCCTGGTCAGCCTAAAGGAACATACCCTGTGATTCCTCCCAGCAGTGCTGCCCGCTCAGCGAGGAAACAGCCGAGGCGCCCACGCTTCCTGTTGGAGCCCATGCAAAGCCAATGGTCCCTGGGGTGTGGCATCCTTGGAAGGCAGGGGTAGGCTGTGTGGTCATAGCCTCCATCTGGGGCCTGTGTTTTGGTGGCCCTAAGGTGGGTGGTCCGTTTTCCTTCCTGTTCCTCAGTCCCAGAGAAGGACCCCATGTCCTGACTAGGTTCCTGCCTGCCTTCTGCTCAGGGGTGAGAAGCTGCAAGAGTGTAGCCTAAGCTTGACCAAAGCAGCAGGCCCTTCTCTGACGAGTGCTGTCCTGACAGAGGCTTCAAAAGCACCAGCCCCAAGGAGTCCCCTGCCTGGGGCCCTGTCAAGTGCCCCTGGCCCAAAGCTGCCCCCCACTGCAAGTACAGGCTCGGAGCTGCTGCTGTTACCTCCTTCCTCCTTTATGCCCCGTGGGGCCGAAGCAGCAGCCAGGGTGAGTTATGCTGTACCAGGCCTGGTCACCTGGGCTCCCACTCCTTGGTCTGGCCCTTGGTGCCCTTGCTAGTGCACTTGGCACTGTGGCCACAGTTGTACTCATTGTTTCTGGAACATGGTGTGTGGGAAGACAGGCCACTAAATCGGTCAAGTGTAGGTGCCTACTACACACCAAGTGTGAGGGACACAGCTATGAAAAGCCTGCTGAAGCCTGTGCCCTTGTCAAGCATATTGTTTAGACAGAAACAATGAAAAAAACCCACTGTGTGCAGACTAGTCACTGCACATCACATAGCCTGCATGGGCCATGGTGAGTTTGGAATCTGAGTAGGAAGTTAACAGAAATTCTTTTATTTTTTAAAGAAGTTCAAAGCAGGGCAGAGCCTTTGACTCAGTGGGTAGGGCGCCAGCCCCATATACTGAGGGAAGCAGATTTGAACCTGGCCCCGGCCAAACCAAACTGCAACAAAAAAAAATAGCCAGGTGTTGTGATGGGCACCTGTAGTCCCAGCTACTCAGGAGGCTGAGGCAAAAGAATCACTTAAGCCTAGGAGTTGGAGGTTGCTGTGAGCTGTGATGCCACAGTACTCTACTGAGGGTGAAAAAGTGACTCTGTCTCTTAAAAAAAAAAAAAAAAGTTCAAAGCACAGTACGTGTACTTTTTTTTTCTTTTTTTTTGAGACAGAGCCTCAAGCTATCCCCCTGGGTAGAGTGCTATGGCTTCACAGCTCATAGCAACCTCCAACTCCTGGGCTCAAGCGAGTCTCCTGCCTCAGCCTCCCAAGTAGCTGGGACCACAGGCGCCCACCACAATGCCCGGCTATTTTTTGGTTGCAGCCATCATTGTTGTTTGGCAGGTCTGGGCTGGATTCAAACCTGCCACCTTAGGTGTAGGTGGCTGGCACCTTAGCCACTTGAGCCACAGGCGCTGAGCCTACCTTTTTTTTCTGACCAACATAATTTAAGTGTGCAGGGGAAGTTTAACTATTGGTTTATGTGTGCTGGGAGGTAAAAAAAGGTTGAAAGACACTAGTGTAGAGGAATCTAGGCAGAGACGGGTGATGAGCACTCAGTAATGGAGGTGACAGAGATACAGTCTGGCCACCCAAAAAGCTGGTACCTGAAAGGGCATGGGGGTGGGAAGGAGCCAGCTCCTGTGGTGAGTTTGTCCTTATGGGCCCACATACCTTCACTGAGGTGGGGTTGAGAGGAGTCTGTTTCCTGTCATTGGAGGTGAACAAGTGGGGTGATGAGGGACATTCTCTCTAGGGGAAGGGAAGAGAGCTGTGGGGGTGGGGTTGGACAGCAGGAACAGCTGACCTCTTTCTGAGGTCCAAGCTCAGCAAGGTCATGAGCTCAGAGCAAGGAGAGAAGGCTGAGGAAGGCTTGGACCAGCTGCTGGAGCAGGATGGGCCTGGGATGCTCTTTAGGTTGCTTGTAGGACTTTTTCCTGTGCTGTTGAGTCACACAGGCAGGGTAGGGCCAGAATCCAGGTGTGCTGGCTGCAGCAGGGGCCCAGGAAGCCAGTTTCTGAGGCCTGGTCTTCCCCACCCTGCAGGGCAGGCAGTGAAATGGAGGGTGTGAGGATGTGGTACTCCTCTCCCCAGGCTTCCTCCTGGCTTCTCTGCTCAGGTCCTGCCTTCCTTTATAGGTATCAGCACAGCCAACTACCCCCAGGCCAAAGCCCCAGGCCCCCCAATCTTTGACTTGTGTCCCTGACCCCCATCTGCTCCTCCCTGGGAACTTTACGGACACCAGGGCTAGGCCTGGGCCTACCTCTGAAGCTGCAGGTATGTAGCTGGGGCCCGTCAGAACAGTGAGCACCCAGGTCCCAGATTGTCAGAACAAGCTCAGACTCCTGTTGCTGCAGGCTGTATGGATCTGGAGGCCGAACTTGAGGGGATCCAGCAGCAGTTACAGCATTACCAGGCTACCAAGCAGAACCTCTGGTGAGGCCTGGGAAATATACTGGCAGGTGTGGCCTGGAAAGGTGGGAGGTCCCATTTTCCCCAAACCAGCTACCAGGATCTTTAGGGGTGGTCTGCTGGGTTGGGAAGCCCTGTGTGCTGTCCAGCAAGCACCCACTCCGTCCACTGTGACACTTCCAACTCAATCCATAGGTGGGCTAGAGGCCCTGCTTTCAGTGGGGGATGATAAAGTAAAACATTGTGATGATGCTGTTAAATGTGTAGGGAAGGCAGACCTGGGCCTCCAGCTACATTCAGGGATCTGGGGGCCATCAGCATATCATGTAGCAGCCTCAGAGAATCAAGGAAACAGGACTGGTCCCCTCATCCCCAGCTCTGCACAGGAGGGTACTCTCATCTGAGTTGCTGTTTACTGGGGAGGGTGGAAGGTGAGAGGAACAAGAACACACTGGCTTCCTAAGCCAGGGGCTGGTGTCTCTAGGCAGGATGTCCAACCAGACATACCCCTTCTCTCTACACCCCATCCTCCCATCACAGTTAGCTAACAGCTTCTCCCCAAGCCAGAGAGGGTTCTGCCTGGACCCCAGCCTGGCAAGCAGCAGGTATGCCCACCCTCAGGTCCTGTCAGCGGCAAGCCAGGAGCTTGCGCAGGTGGCTGGAGCTCAGCCGAGAGGAGCCCAGGCCCGAGGACCAGGAAATGGAGCTGCGGGTACAGGAGGAGTTGGAGGAGGTGAGGCCCCAGGCCAGCCTCTGGGACAACCCCACCTCCAGCTATCTCTCCTCTCAGCCCAGACTGTCCCATGCCAGGTGGAGCAGCAGATTCAGCAGCTGACCGAGGAGCTCCAGGCACAGCGCCAGCCCATCAGCTCCTACGTTGGCCGCATCCAGGCCCTGCGGCGTACCTTGTGCTAGTGTCTTTGCTTCAGGCCTCCTCTAAGAACAGACTGCAGAGCCACACTGGGTTTTAGCTTTTTATTTCAAAATGTTTTGCAATTAAATGAATTACTGTTCAGAAGTCTCCCACTTTTCATACAAAAATACTGTGCTACTGATACAGTTGAAAGAGTTCTATGATTTCTCCTGCAGGAGAAATCCACAGTGGCCCCAGAGTCAACATGAGATCTGGCCCCATCCCAACCCTCAAGGGCTCCCTGAGGCCTCTGTACCTGTTAAGTTGGAAAGGTTTTCTAGGCACCAACCCCTCATACACCAAGGCTCCTCTGCCCCTAGCACGGGCCCTCAATCAATAGCAGCAACTTTCTCATGTTTCATTTGGGGCTGGATACAGGGAGGGGGAACATGAGCTCTCCTCTGGCTTTAGCTGGGCCTCTGCCACAATGAGGACTCTGGCCAGCTCCAGAAGCCAGTCATCAGGGCCTACAAAGGTCTGCATCATTAGTCACTGTCTTCAAAAGACACTAGAAGGTCCAGGGTGATGCATTCAACTCCAAGTGCAAAGAAAGTGCTTTTTCCAATGAGGCAAATGTGGGAAGAGAAAGTGGTTTTTAGGAAGCTGCATAGCCCTGCTGGGGGTAGTATTCACAGTCTGTGCCAAAGAGGCACTTCACACTGTGCAGGCCAAAGAAAGCAGAAGAGGCCAATGGACAATGGCCCAGGTGAAGGGGGGACACAGTAAGAAGATAGGTACACTATTACCACCTAATTGTCTTATAACAGTTACAACCACGCCATGCTCAGCTGGGAGGAGCCTCCAGTTTATACAATGTTAAAAAGAGATCCAAAAATGACTGCAATTGCCCTCTAGCCCCAGCATGTACTTTTTTCTTTGTAGGGTAGGGAAGAAGAGGGAATAGCAAACGTTGAGGGCATGGCAGGGACTCTGGCCACCTCATGAGGATACAGAACCTCTTGTCTGCACCTGAGTCAGGTGGGAGTAGAATCATTCCAATCATACATGGTCAGATCCCTCCTCACCAGGATGGCCTCATGGCATTTTCCTTCATTCTCTGGAAAAGATCCCTTGGCAGCCACTGGTATGAAGAGGCTCTACAGAGAGCCCAGGGCCTCCCCAAAGTGGATTTTCTGTCCTGCTTTCAGCTGGAAGTTGAAGTCTTTGGGGGCTTCGAAGATGAGCACAATGGTAGAGCCCAGGTTGAACTCACCCAGGTGCTCGCCCTTGCGCATGGGGATGCCCTCCTTGTTGGCGTGTGTCACGAAGCTGAAGTCATTGTAGGAGCCCTTGCTGTACCTCGGGCTGTTTGTGTGCAGGTCCTATGGCAGGAGGCGGGGTCAGAGTGCCACCCCTACCTGTGCTTGGGTCCTACTCCCTCTGTTGCTTGTTCCCAGCACGACCCCACCTGGCTCCAAAAGTGGAGTGGGGACAGCAGCTCAGGGCCAGGAGGGCCCAGTCCACCCATATCACACACAGCCCCAATACCTGCTATGAACTGGGCCCTGCCAGACAGGGAGAAACCAGACCTAACTGTTCTCTCAGCACACAGAAGCCAGAGGCCATCAGTCCCAAACTGACACCCAAATGGCAGTGTCCCCATGAGCAAGGTGGGCACAGGCCTCTATGAGTGCCAGCCCCCTCCCATATGCTCTGCTCTCCAGTCCACCTGGCCCACGCTGTGCTCCCTTGCTGTTCCTCATCTCTCCCTCCTTTGACCATGGCTCCTGGCAGAAGCCAAGTGCCAGGCAGGGAGGTTAATTCCTTCCCTCTCCCTCTGCCACCTCCAGTCTTGCAAGTGGCAGGAATGTGGGAAGGAGGCTTCAGCTAGTAGGAGGGTACTCAGGCCTGGCCAGAGATGTGACCCTCCCAGTATTTACAGTCCCACTGGATCCTGCCCAACAAGTGAGATCAATGGACCCAAGAAGTCCAGACCTTGGTAGGGCCTGGGTCTTGCTCACCTGATCAAAGTAGATGCGAATGGAGCCCACATTGGTGGCCCCCACAGCCGTTAGTGAGAAGAAGCCGTGTTTCCAGTCCCCGGTCAGGACTACTCGCTCATTGTGGCAGAAGAGCTCTTTGATCCAGCGAGCCATGCCAGGGTTCACCGACATCAGGGAGCCTGTGGGGGCAAGGACCACTGCTACTCCCCATCCAAACCCAAGACCTAGAGAGACATGTGACCTATCACCTCAGTGTCATTCCAAATGCAGAGCAGGCTGGACCTCTGGCTCTCTAAAGCAGTCAGCTCCTGGCCTCCACAACCCCAATCTGGAGCCTGGTCTCTTGACCCTGCTGGGCTCTACTGCTCCTGCAGAGGCCTCCTGTTTAGAGGTTTCTCCAAGGACTGAGCCAGTCCGCAAAGCTGTCAGCACCTGGGGCTCCTCCCAGGAGGGAAAAGGTAATGACAGAAGCTGAGCGCCTCTGTCTGAAGCCATGGGGGCAGCTCCCACCCACCCACTAGCCCTACCTGGGAAGTGTCGCCGGTGGGAAATGGTCCAGTCAGTGGGGGAGTGAAAGCAGTGGTAGTCCCCGGGGGCCAAGTAGATGACACAGTGGTAGAGCTCATTCCCTTCCCGAGTGACCAGCTGGTTCTTGAAGGAGTCACATGAGGTAGCTGTGGGGTGAGGACAGGCATGAGGACCATACTCTCAGACCAGCTCCAGTGCCACCCACCCCAGAAAGCAACAAGCACAGAGCCTGCACACAACACTCTGGGAAGCATCAAAGCTCTGGTGCCAGCACTCAATACCCGCAGCCTTCCCTGCCCCACACCCTCCCCGACGTCTGGTCTGTCCACACAGCACAAGACAGCCTTGCTCTGCCTGCAGTGACCTACCTGCTGGGAAGGGCAGGTCTTCTGTGCAGGTGCGTGGGCCCAGGAATGACTCCAGGGAGTAGGTAACCCCCTTCACCTGTTCTACCTCGCAGTTCTTCACCTGCCCAAAATTGAGGATCTTCCCATCTGATGGGCTGATCTGGAAGCACCAGGAGAGGCTTGCTGCTGGGAAGGAGAGCTTCTCCTCCCCTAGAAGACAGCCCCCACGTTGTCATCAGCTGAGTCCCTAAGGCCCTCCCCGTGCTGGATATGCTGGGCACATGTTGGAGATGGGCTGTGCTGGGCAGGGGGCCCCCATCCCCTGGGGTCCTCCCTAAGCTTGGAGGCTGCTGGGCCTGGCTCCCATGACACAGGCAGGAATCCCATTTTTGCAGGCAGGAGGGTTGGGCCTCACCACGCTGTGCAGGCCACACACAGGCCGGGCCTGCGGCTTCAGCTTGCGCCGGAAGAACTCGCTGAGGTTGCGGTAGTGGTACAGATCCTCCACAGCGGCTTCCTTCATGTTCACCCCGAAGGTCCAGATGTACAGGCTGTAGACAGGCCCACGCAGCCAGTATGGCAGCTCCACCTGGTTGAGGCGGCCCCAGGCCCGTGAGAGTAGACGTGTAGGCACTGACTTGTATAGGGCCACCTGCAGGTGGGAGGGCAGGGCCTGAGTTGGTCACACTGCCCCAAGCTCCAAAGCACCCCTCAATGTAGGAGCAAACTTGCACCCAACAGAGGCTACCAGGCCCTGATGCCTGCACATTGGTTTTGTGATGTGGCTATTTCTCACTAGGAACCAGACTTGCACTTGCCAAACAATCTCAGACTAAGGATTAGCATACAACTTGAGTTGTTTTAGCTATTTCACACGAACGTTAAACAGGGGCAGCCCCAGGTAGACTGGCCAGCATGGTCTTCTTGAAGAAGGTATGGGGAGATATGAACACATCTGATCCTAGCCACAGTGTCAGTGTATGGCAGAGGCAGTGGGCATCGTGCCCTTGTCCCAGCTTGCTGCCCAGACCTCTGGGAGATTTCAAGGCACCTGGACTAGGTCTTTATAGGAAGCAAGGAAGACACCTGAGCAGCATCAGGGATTTTTCTGAGGCAGATCTGCACTACCCACTGTCATCTGGGCCTGAGCTGTAGACACAGGCTTCATGGCCACCACAGGTCTAGCCAGTATGCAGAGGGCCTGGCTGCTCCCAGTCTGAGCCCTACAGCAGGCCCTGCATTCAGAGGCTTCTGGGACTAAGATAGACCACAAAGCCATCATACCTGGGGCTCCAACCAAGAGGCAAAGGGAACTTGACCCCTTGGGTCCCTCCCTCCAGCACAGCCTGGAGCACCTAACCACAGGTCCGGAGATGGGCACTGAATCCTTACTCATTGGGTTCTGGAGCCTCCAGGGCCAGGTACCCAAGGAGTGGCAGCCTATTAAACCTCAGGTGCTGCTGCCATAGTGGGAATTGCCTTGAATCAGCAGCTACCGGTTCTCCAAACACACCAAGACACAAACTCACCAAGGCATAGAAGTCATTTAATTATAACTTTCAACATCTCTCCAATGTCTGGAATTAGTGCTTCCTAGAGGGTTATTCTGACCCCTCCCAGCCACCTGGAGGGCAGCTGTGTGACCAGGCACTGGATGGATCCTGGTCTAATGTCCATTGTGCCTTGGTGCCATTGAGCTCTTGTGACACTCATCTGGGCTGTCAAGGGCCTAGGAATAGGGTTTCCTTGGAGTCAGCCTGCCCAGGAAGTTGAGAGCAAGAGTGAGCCCTCTAGGGACTAGAGTGGCCAGGCCAGCTCCTTGCCCAGTCCAGGGAGAGGCACTTGCATAGCCTTCTGGGTCCTTACCCTAAGAGGTCCAAACAGTCCCCAGCCCTCCTAAACCACCCTTTCATATCAAGAATTTGGACTCTTGGCTCGGCGCCTATAGCTCAACCGGCTAAGGCGCCAGCCACATACACCTAAGGTGGCGGGTTCGAATCCCCAGCCCAGGCCCGCCAAACAACAATGATGGCTGCAACCAAAAAAAAAATAGCCGGGCGTTGTGGCGGGCGGCTGTGGTCCCAGCTACTTGGGAGGCGGAGGCAGGAGACTCGCTTGAGCCCGGGAGTTGGAGGTTGCTGTGAGCTGTAATGCCATGGCACTCTACCCAGGGGGACAGCTTGAGGCTCTGTCTCAAAAAAAAAAAAAAAAAAAAAAAAAAAAAAAAAAAGAAAAGAATTTGGACTCTTCTCAAACCATCTCTTAGCTCCTTTCTGCCTGAACACAGGAAGTCAGAGACAGATACTCTTTTTTCCCTCCAGAACCAGAGCCCCAGAACGGCACACGAGGCGGGCAGGGAGAGCAAACAGTGTACAGTGAGTTTTCAGTCACTTTCTTGGGAATTGTGTGGCCACCAATAAGCCTTGCTTTTTCAAAAGCTGCCTTGCCCTTCCCAGCCAATGAACTTTCCAATAGCCACCCACCAAGGGTGCAGCCATCACCTCCGTTCCTGACAACCCATCTCCTTCTTGGGCTTTCTTGGACCCCAGGCCCCCCTCCAGGAGAGGTCAGGGACCACGGCAGCCTGAACATACTTACCCTGCTCACGGGCCGCCATCCCACCCGGCTGAGTGGTCTGAGGGCACCAAAGGGCAGGAGGTAGTAGAGGACGGTCAAGGGCCAGGAGCGCAGTCTCAAGGCAGGTCTGGACATGCAGCTCAGCTGCCCCAGCCTCCGCCTCAGGGCCAGCTGGGGAAACTGCAACCTGCAGGGCACATGTCCATGCACAGCTGGGATCAGTGACCAGACTCTGGGAGGGACCCAGAAGAGCCCGTTCTGTCCACCCACCCTCCACCAGCTGCCTCACCCATGGGGTGACAGAGTCCTATAAGCACTGGCTACACCTCGTTCTAACCCCACTGTGAGCCCAGGGCCTGGCTGCCCCTGGCTGGCAGGACTGGGATGCCGGGTAGATGAAAGGGAGTTACCTCTCAGGTGGAGCAGCTGCCGGGCAGGAAGGGGCCTGGCATTGGGAAGGCACAGTGGAGAGCCTGCTTTGCACTCCCTCCCTCTCAAGGCCAGCTCTGCCTGAGCCTTGGCCGCACACCATACTACAGAGCTATGACCTGGGCAGAGAGGTGACCGTTCACTGAATCTTACTACCATCCCTTTGCAGAATCTGGGATATTCTCTTCCTGGTTCCAAACAAGATGAAGGAAGCACTTAACACACAGGCCCCCACCCCACAGGATAGCTCCATCCAGCTGCACAGTCCTTCTGGTTTTTCTACAGCAGATCAGGTTCTTTAGCCCATCACCAGGTTTAGGAGGGGCACCTCCCCCTCCCTGCTCTGCTGGGGTCACACCCTCCACCCAGGTGCCTCCTTCCAGCAAAGGTGGTTAGGCCTCCCACCAACACTCGCAGCACAAATTCAGTGAGTTCAGCACAGGCTCGGCAGGGGTCGCAGAAGCTGGAATGAGCCTTTCCAGCAGAACTCTGGCCTCCTGAGCAGGCCCAGGCCCTATACACCTTGTCCCATGACTAGGTCCTCAAAAATGCTTCTGAGGCCCCAGTGTAGCCATCAGGAGATCACACTGCCGCCCACTCTGAGAATATCCCCAGGCTCGGTTTCCTTATCTGCAAAGTGACTGCTTTCAGCTAGAAAATCTAAGGCTGCCATCTGAAATTGTGCTCAGGAAGAGCTGGATATTCTCTCAGTTGCTGAGCAAACCAAGTGACAAAGAGGCATCTCAGCTGATAGTAAGCACAAAACAAACAGCTGAGCCAACAGCCAGGCCACGGGTGGGGTGCAATGCAAGGCAAGGCTCTGCATTCACAGGCTGTGCATCCCCAGAGCACCCCACATGCCACCTTCTTTCCCATTAGGTTTTAAAAGGTTTAGGAATGTGGCACGGGCCAAGCAAAGACAGGCAAATTACTGCTCTCCCTGGGGCCTCTCCATCTGCCATGCTCACTGCAGAAAAGCAGGACCCAATCCTGGGAGAACTGCAACCTCTGGTCAGCTCAAAGGGGTATGGGGAAGCCTCTCCCAGAGAGGAGGGGCTGAGGATGGGGGAGAAGATGAGGAACACCAGGGCAAGGAGCACCAGAATCAGGTCCTGAAGCCTACTGGCTGCCTCCCTTGCTGGGCCTCTCCTACTCAGGGCACTTGGCCCCCCAGGCCGGGCCCCCTCCAGCCTCTAGAGCTGACCCCCACCTCCATAGGCTTGCTGCCACTTCTACTTTGGGGTTGCTGGACATGGACTCTGACCTTCTGGAGTTTGTGGCGGGGCAGAGGGGTCAGGACATGGTGGGCAGCATCTCACCATTTCGCTGTGCGGAGCTCTGGTCCTTGCAGTGCCTCTGACTGACACATCCTGGGCAGGCGCAGGAAGGGCAGCCAGGCTGGCTCGCCTTTGTTTTCCTCTTTCCTCCCCTTCCCCCGCACCAGAGGATCTGCCAGAGGATCTCCCGCGCTGTCACTGCTCCAGGGGCTCTGTCTCTGTGAGGCCGAGGCCGGCTGTTGGCTGCTGGTGCCGTTGCTTCCCCACCCTGGTTCAGTCTTGGTGGCCCAAAGGGCAGTTAAGAGGGTCAGGGCTATTGCAAACAGACAGGCACTGGTCACATTCCTGCTCAGGCCACTTGTCAGGGTTTGCAGCCTGAGGGCGCAGCCCCTGCACTCAGCCTACGCTGCACTGTGCCCCAGGCCTGGCTGCCTGCCAGTCCCTCCTGCCCGAGCTGAGCCAGCTGGGCTGGGGGCTGCAGGTGGGCGAGGCACCCAGGCTGCCTGTTCCAGTGAGCCATGGCAGGGAGGAGACCAGTTGCCCCTGCCAGAGTTTCCGGGCACCTATGGATTGCAAGAGCCCAAGGTGGGAATCTGAGCCCTGAGCCCTAGGGGCCGAGAGCACAGCGGCAGCCTGTCTGCGGCCCCTCCCTCTCCAGGACCTGACCCATTTTCAATTTAGGTTACTAAGTAGCACCTGAGGAATGAGATGAACGGGAAGCCTTGAAAGGTACAGTGATGGGAGCCTGGCCATCTGACCTGTGCCAGCTCTCCATACCCCTCTCAGCCTTGGAACCCCCTAATACCTGGCTCTGACCTCCTCTTGGACCCCTCAAGCTGTGCACTGTGTGACCTCAGAGAAAACCAACCAGCCTGTGGCTCGGAACCCACTGAGACTGAAGACTGAACCAGTTCCCTCCACTTTCCCATCTTTGGTTCAGAAAAGTATTTTGGCCAGGGGCCCTCCCTGGGTATCTGAGAGGACACACCCAGGCTCTACACAAAGCCATTCACCTCAGCCTGCACAGATAACAGGGAAGGACAGCAAACAATCTGCAGCTGTTGCTATCTCAGCCCAGGGCAATAAATGGCCTCTAGGCCCCAGGAAGGATAGAGCTGACAGGAGCTCATCCCTCTGGGCCTCCTACCCTAAGGACAGTCCTGGAAGGGGGCAGGGGCCTGCTGCCCTCTTTAGATGGAAAAATGTGGCCCCCAAGAGCTGCTTCCTAAGGCACAGAATAGCTAGGCAAGGACTCATGGCCACAGCCAACACACTGTGACAGAGCAAGAGCCAAACTCAGACATGCCTCTAGGTACAAAGGATGAACATCAGACACCCTGGCAAACCCTCCTCAGCTCCAGAGGTACCTGGCTCCACCAAGAGCTGAATCCCTTGGTATGCTACTGGCCTCTGGGATTTGAGACAATAAGCAACTAAGGTCTCTGGACAGGGCGTGCACTTCTCTTCCTGACCCAGGAAGTGGCAAGGCCTAGGCCACCCCAGACCAAGCTGTCCAGGTCTCTCTCCTCAATGAGTAGCAAGGATGGTTCACTTCAGGGTGAGCCAGATGGGAGGCTGTTCACCCTCCAAACAGATGCACACAAGCCTCCTCCCTCAGGAAGACGGCAATACCAGGAGGGCAGCATAGGCACAAGACACCTGACCCATTCCATCCCACGGCTCCAGACACTGCTATTTCTACCCCAAGTTTATGTCCAGCCCCTTGCCAACTTCCCATCCTCGATGGTCAGGTTGTTCCAACTGTCCTGCCTACTTACTGAGAACACCCCGGGCCCACCAGGCTCTGCACTGGCCTCCTGCTAGGGAAACAGGCCCAGAGAGGTGACAGGCAGTCCAGGGCAAGTCCAGTGCCTACGTCCAAAGAAGAGGCTCTTTTCCTGTTCAATGAAGTGGAGACTAGACACTGGGTTCACACTCTGATTCCAGAAGAGACAAGTGTGGCCTTGTGGGATGAGGTTGGAGGGAGAAACCTCAAGAGCACTGCCTCCTGCCAGTTTTCCTCACTATAGGATCCTGCTACCTGGACGTGACCACTGCAACCTTTTAATTTGTCAGAAAGGCATAAACCCAGAAAAATCCAGCTTGGCAAAAAATCATGAGTTCTCAAAGCAGATTCTTGCTTGAACCTTGGCATTTCATTCTCCCACAGTGCTGCAAGGGAGCCAGGTCAGACCATCTAGTCCCAGCTGGGGCCCTGCTGAGCACTCAAGGCATGCAAGGCCTGGCTGGCAGGCCAGACACCCACTAGGGCAGGGGAGCCCCTGGCTCCTCCTTCCTACAGTGGAGGAAGCTCAAGGGGCCCAAGACTGAGGAGCTGTTTCTCTGGAGAGATGCTAAGAACCATTCTGAGGGGCCAGGCCTCCTCAAAGTCAAGGACATTCCACAGAGTTAAATTTTGGGCTATGACCAGCAGGACTTTAAAGTCATTATAGGGCCTAAGGACCAGTCACCTGGAACATGAGAACTCAGAGGGCTCTGTGGCAGGGAACAACCTGGTCACCGCAACCCCAGCTGTCCTCCTCCACCCCTGCCCCAAGAGCCAGGAAAGGCCTTAGCAAGCCATAGGTTCTGTATGGGTTGCAGTTCTGCAGCTAGAAAATGGGAAGGGAAATTCCTTCTGCCCACCCCTTAAGCCTCAGAGCATAGCTGCGACTATACCATTGCCCAGAACAACTCTGCTCAGAAACCCTCACTTCTACCCAAGAACCCAGTGTAGCCTCACCTCAGTCCCCAGAGCTGGCTCCCGACACCTCATTTCTTTCCAAAAACTTAAACTCTCACTCTGAAAGGGCAGAGGTTTCTACCCCAGGAAGAAGGAAAGAATGGAGCTTAGGTGGCAGTTCTGTGAGAGGATCCCAAGCTGCAGCGGCAGTGACTGCCTTGGAGTAGGAGGCCCCAGCTGAAGAGACCACACAAGGAGACAGGACCAACCATGTCAGGATATGCTGTTCTGGGGGTTCATACTCAAGCAGCACAGCAATATCCCCACCCACCCCTCACTGACCAGGACAGAGGCCACGGCACCTGCTCCCCCCAGTGGAATGGAACATTCCAACTGAAGTTGGATGTACAGACCCAGGCCAGCCAGCAGTTACTGCTGGCGTAGTGTGGGTGGGTGCATGCGTAGAAGCGTGGGGTGTCAGGTGCAAGGTGGCTGTGGCTCATAAGCAAGCATGTGCGTATGCATGTGTGCACTTGCACGTGTGTAGATGTGTGTGCCTAAGCTCATGTTCCTGGGAGTCTAGTCTGAGCCTCTGCAAGTGTCCAGCCAGGGACACCCCATCTCTATTAAGATGATAAGATACCTATCTCTTTTTTTTTTTTGAGACAGAGCCTCAAGCTATCCCCCTGGATACAGTGCTATGGCTTCACAGCTCACAGCAACCTCCAACTCCTGGGCTCAAGCCAGTCTCCTACCTCAGCCTCCCGAGTAGCTGGGACCACAGGCGCCTGCCACAATGCCCGACTATTTTTTGGTTGCAGCCGTCATTGTTATTTGGCGGGCCCGGGCTGGATTTGAACCCATCACCTTGGGTGTACGTGGCTGGTGCTTGAGCCACAGGCGCTGAGCCTTACCACCTATCTCTTAAGAGCTAAGGTCATCCCTCCTGAAGCCTCAGCTTAAACTTCCAGGTCCCCAAATCATGTGTCTAACAGCCTGACCTTGGCTGAGCAGATTCCCCCAGAAGCAAGGAGCTGGGTTTCTCCCCAGCACCTGGCAGCTGTGTCCAGTGGGGCAGATCAAGCCTTACTCCCCTCTGTTCCAGGGCTAGCAGCAGACCAATTCACAAGTAGGGGATAGGGAAAGTGGATTCTCCCTGGACAAAATGGACAAGCCATCCTGGAAGCAAGGGCAAAGGAAGAGGGAGCAAAGAGAATGGCCCAGAGGTGCCTTCAAGAGGCTCAGGAACCAGGCGAAGAGACAGGATGTCATAGGCCATCTAAATTGCCCAAAGAGGAACCTCCTCTCAGACGACCTTTGGCACCTATAGGGAACAGGGCTCTGCAAAGAGGCAGCACCACCCCCTCCCCAGCCCGCAGGTGCTGACACAGTGACAAGTCCTAACACCTCTGGGCCCTACTGAAGAATAGTGCACTTCCCTCTCCCTCAGACACCCTGTCCCCACCCCGCTGAGGCAGCATGTAGAGATGAGGAGTTCTCAGTGAGGGAGGCAGCAGCTGAGCCCATGCTCCACGACAGAGCGCCACCAACGCTCTGCCGACATTTCCCAGCATTGCCCTCACTTCCCGCACAGACAAGAGATGCTGCAGGACGTGGAGGAAGTGATCTCATGCCGCCCAGGCCCCGTGACCCATGTTGGGGGACAGAAGCCCACAACTTGATCAAGACTGTCTGGTTGGGTTCCTCAGGCTCCCACATCCTCCCCAGCAGTGAAATAGCCACCCCACACACGCAATGAGCTAGGAGGACACTTCCCCCAGGGGTCCAGTCCTCTGGGCAGGCAAAGCAGGACAGGGCAAGGCAGGGGAGGGCGCCTTCCTGGGAAGTCACCTGTGGCTCCCGAGCTCGTTCACCGCTCACCAGCAGGTGGGTCCCAGTTTGTCTTCCCGGCTCCAGCCTCCGACTCCCTGGCTGGCTCGCTCACCTCAAACCCTTGGGGTGGGCAGGGCTCACGCTCCAGCCACTCAGACAGCCGGGGCGGAGGCAGGAGTCCAACCCCGGCCACCGTTAAAGCCGCCGCTCCCTCTGAGCTCCAGCCAGGCCCAGCTGCCCGCCCAGCCCGAAGGCTCCTTTAAGAGGAGGGGCCAACCCAGCGATGAAGGGAAGAGCAGTGGTAGGGGAACTGTTCAGCCTGGGCACTGTTGGGGATGGCCCCACCCCACACCAAGGGTGCCTCAGCCCCCTCCCCTCATCCTCCTCTCTGCTGACCTGTCTGTACTCAGCCTGTGGCTGGCCTCCAGGAGCCGCTGCCTCCCTCACCACTCTCCCACTTCCAGGCAGGCTCAGGCCCCAAAAGGCTGCTGACCTGAGCTGGGGTCCTTGATCATTCCCACACCCCATCCTGAAGATGTGAGGCAATTCCCAGTCTTCGTGGGGTCCTCCAGGCAGGCATACCCAGGACATATAAAATGCCCTGACCCTAAAAGTAACATAGAGCAGTGAACAAGCCCAGATGAACAAGGTCCAGCCCCTGGCCCAGAGCACACAGGCTTTCCCCTGCTGGGATGAAGATCTCATGGCATGATGTGTGCCTGTGTCCTTCTACTCCACTAGAGGGAAGGACCCCAGTCTGCTGGGACAGCAGCATGCCATGATAGCCACAAAGGTGCCAGGTGCCCAGAAAGCACTGGGTTCACATGAGATGGAATGAATTAGCTCAATATTGTTTAGGGAAGAAGGGAGATGGGAGGAGGACCACCTTTCAACCAAGGAAAGGGTATAGAATCAAGCTGCCTCATTCACACCTGCATAAACAGCTCAGCACTTCCCATCCCTCATCCATTTGGCCTCAGAAGGTTCAGTCTTCTCCCTTTGGGCCACTGCACAACTCCAGCTTCTTCTGACCACTAAGAATTTTGTTTTCTAAAATAATTACCATTTGAAACAGGAGGAGAGTGCCTACAGGGCTTGTGGAAAGATGGGGCTGGTAGGCCAAGGCAGCCAGCATTTCCCAGCATTGCCAGGAATCCCTACAATGCCATGCAGACACAGCCCCACACCCTTCCTCCTTAGCCGGATCCAGCCCAAGCAAGTGCTGCACGACAAGCCACTGACCTGGACACAGCAGGGAGAAGGCAATAGGTGGGGGCAGGCCTCATGTATTCCCATGATATTCCCTTCCTGGGAATTGTACCTTGCAGAGGTAAGCAATGTACAATTCTAGCCCAGAGCCTGAAGTTCTGAGGGAAGCCTGGGAATACCTGACACACAGGCTGCCTCTCATATTCTCCCATCCTGAGCCCACAACAGATATCACCACACAGGTCCTTGAAAAACATCATTTCAGGTGGTACCTGTGACTCAGAGGGTAGGGCGCCAGCACCATATACTGAGGGTGGCAGGTTCAAACCTGGCCCCAGCAAAACTGCAACAAAAAAATAGCCAGGTGTTGTGGCGGGCACCTGCAGTCCCAGCTACTCAGGAGGCTGAGGCAAGAGAATCACCCAAGTCCAGGAGTTGGAGATTGCTGTGAGCTATGTGAAAATAATAATAAAAAAATAAAAATAAATACCATTTCATCATAATGTTGATGAGGAGGAAAAAAGCAATTCCTGGTGGAGCACTTGTTAGTAAGCAGGTTCTGCCTACTCTCCTCACATCCACAAGAGGTTTCTCCAGGCATTCCGGTTCCCCCCAACTCCCAAAGCTACCTATGCATATTAGGTGTGTCTGACTTGTCCCAGTATGTGTGAGTGTACTGAGCAATGAGACAACGTCCTGCCCAGAGTGGGATCCCATCTTGCACCCTGAGCTGCTGAAATAGGGTCTGGTCACCTCAACCCTGAGATGAGCAGGTAAATAATCATCTTACTTTGTTTTTGTTAATCTTTCTTAAGTATAGATATAGATAGCTCACATTTATTTATATTTATTTATTTATTTTTTTGAGACAGTGCCTCAAGCTGTCCCCCTGGGTAGAGTGCCATGGCATTACAGCTCACAGCAACCTCCAACTCCTGGGCTCAAGTGAGTCTCCTGCCTCCACCTCCCAAGTAGCTGGGACCACAGGCGCCCGCCACAACGCCCGGCTATTTTTTGGTTGCAGCCGTCATTGTTGTTTGGCGGGTCTGGGCTGGGGATTCGAACCCGCCACCTTAGGTGTACGTGGCTGGCGCCCTAGCCCGTTGAGCTATAGGCGCCGAGCCTTGATTTTTAATGTTAGACATGTTTGGGGTCTTTATTTAGAAGTCTGGTGACATTTTTGTGATCAGAAATATATGCTGTGATGGCTTGGTGCCTGTAGCTCAAGCAGCTAGGGCCTAGCCACATACACTGGAGCTGGCGGGTTCGAATCCAGCCCAGACCCGCCAAAACAACAATGACAGCTGCAAGCAAAAAAATAGCCGGGCGTTGTGGCAGGCGCCTGTGGTCCCAGCTACTTGGGAGGCTGAGGCAGGAGACTCGTTTGAGCCCAAGAGTTGGAGGTTGCTGTGAGCTGTAATGCCACGACACTCTACCCAGGGCCACAGCTTGAGGCTCTGTCTCAAAAAAAAAAAAAGAAAGAAAGAAAGAAAGAAATATATGCTGTGGGAGCTTAACTTTTTTAGTCTATGGTAGAACTGATTTCACTTAAAGTTGAAGATTTCAAGAACCTATGCACAAGGTTAAGTGAGGACTTACTGGAATTGATCCTAGCATTCTCTGAACCCCAGTGAGACTGCAGACCCCTTCTCACCTCAGAGCTGCAAACACATACCACATGAAACAGGATGACAAGGAGTTTAAAGCATAGAAGGATATAGGCACAGAATCCAAGCACCATCAAATTCCAGAACCAGGAAGACCACTCTCACTTCCCCAAAGCCTCCAGTACTTGCAGTCCAGGCCACACAGCTTCCCTGGGTATAGACGGAAATGCAGCCCCAGTGAGATCAGCAGGAGAAAGGTCTGCAGATGACAAGCCTGGGATCTGAACACACTCTGCCTTACCACTGCTAAGCAAGTTCTACAACTCCAATGGCCGGAGCCTTGGATGGCCCAGCAGGCTACTCTGTGCCCACCGGCGTTCCTTTTCAATCACTCTAAGCCTCTAAGCCTAGTAAACTGGTGCTTTAAACCCATAAACCAGCCCACTAGTCTGTCCTGAGATTAGCCTCCCAACTAGACCTCCGCCACATGTATTTGCCAGGGAAATGCATTCTGAGTTTCAAACAATTAGTTACCAAATGAATTTCTTGGGGGAGAACAACAATCCTCTGGGGTAAATTTATTTTCCCACCTTAAACAAGGTAGCCTGGCTTGGCGCCTGTAGCTCAACCAGCTAAGGCGCCAGCCATATACACCTAAGGTGGCGGGTTCGAATCCCCAGCCAGGGCCCGCCAAACAACAATGACAGCTGCAACCAAAAAATAGCCGGGCGTTGTGGCGGGCGCCTGGGGTCCCAGCTACTTGGGAGGCTGAGGCAGGAGACTGGCTTGAGCCCAGGAGTTGGAGGTTGCTGTAAGCTGTAAATGCCACGGCACTCTACCCAGGGGGACAGCTTGAGGCTCTGTCTCAACAACAAAAAAAAAACAAAACAAGGTAGCCCTTTCTGGTCAGCTAAGTCCTTAATTTTCACTCCTACCCAGCTAAGACTCCCCTGGGTGGGAGTGCCACCTAGTGTCATTGTGAGGGGCTGCAGGGCCCAGGGACACACAGACAGAGGCTTCCCCACCTCAAGTCAATTCACTCACCCCCACTATACTAGTTCCAAGAATTTCATGCAGTATATGCCCTCTAGCTGGATACTCTGTGCCCTGGGACAGAAGGCGGTCATGGGACAGGTGTGGCAGGTACTCTCAGCTAATTCTCATTCCCTGGGAGCCACTAGAGGCCCCAGAGCAGGCGCCCTCAAACTACGGCCCACAGGCCACATGCGGCCCGCCTAGGACATTTATCTGGCCTGCCAGGTGTTTTTGCCGCTGCTGCCTGTCCTGCTTAGCAGCCGACTCATCCCGGGGCCCGCAGTCCAGCCCTCCAATGGTCTGAGGGACAGTGAACTGGTCCCCTGTTTAAAAAGTTTGAGGACCTGCCGTAGAGGAAGATGGCTAAAGTCTCATCATTGGCCTGAGGAACCATAGACAGGCATCAGGTTCCCAGCAGTCTGGGCAGAAAGCCTGGTAAGCTCAACGTGAGGGCACTTCCTTGTGCACAAGGTTCTCCAGCACTGCCCACTTCCCTGCTCAAGGTTCAGGGATGGCTCTTAGCTGTTCCCTTAGGCTGCCAACTTCTGGGATGCCCCTCATCACGCAGAGTCCCTCCAGCAGCTCCCCAATGGAGAGAAGGCTGTAGCAGGACACAGAAAAAGGGTTTCAGCCAGAGCAAGCCCAGCAAATAGCTCCACACAGGAGCATAGGCTCTGGAGCCAGGCACCCCTGCCCAGGAGTCTAGCTTGTTTTTAGGTTCCATGTCTCCCTCAGGCACAGTCCTCCACTCTCCCACATGCTGGCCACTCAAAGCAGGGAAAGTAGCTCCCAAGTGGTACCTTGGCTGGAGAGAAGGGCTGGGATGGGGCCGGAGGCCTGGCCACACGGCAGCACACTGGACATGAGAGCATGATTATGTTATCCCTGAGGTAATTGTAGCAGGAGGGGCCCTGCCATCTCCTCCTGCCCTAGAATGATCCCATGATTCCCTGAGGACAGAGCTTGCCCCTGCTGGCCACTTAGAAAACTACTCTGCTCAAGTGGTACTGAGCAGGCAGGAGGCTCTGCTTCCCTCCTCACCAACTCGACTATTTGCCCATCTTATCATCCACGGTGGTTTTCTCCACACCTAATACTACTCACTAAATCTCTACTCCCCGCCAGCACAGGACCAGGTATTTACACATACATCCTTCTCACTTATCAGTTTTATGAGTTAACAGCAGCCTTCTTTTTTTTTGAGACGGAGCCTCAAGCTATCCCCCTGGGTAGAGTGCCATGGCATCACAGCTCACAGCAACCTCCAACTCCTGGGCTCAAGCGAGTCTCCTGCCTCAGCCTCCCAAGTAGCTGGGACTACAGGCG